CTGCTGAGCTTCATTTCATTTGCAAATTTGACACCATCAGCTCAGGATTAAACAAAGACTGTGAATGGCTATCCAACTACAGAAGCAGTTTCTCCTCCCTTGGTGTTCACACCTCAACTGCTAGCAGAGGACCTCACCCTCCCTGACTGAACTAACCTCGTTATCTTCATACTGATTCTTGACTGAATATTTATACCTGCCTCTGGAAATTTCCATTACGTGCCTCTGACAAAGTGGGCATTCACCCACAAAAACTTATGCTCCAATACATCTGTTAGTCTTAAAGGTGCCACAGGACTGTCTGTTGCTTCCATAAAAAAGCTTAACTGTTCCTTACAATCAACCTGCAATGAAGAGCAGCTGTCACATTCACCAGTTTCAAGGTTTAACCCAACCTATAATAGAACCTACACACACATACCGAAGCACACTGGTTAGGAGCTGAAGTCAGCAAAGTTCAAGCTGGAAATAAGGTGTAAATTTTTAACAGTTACTTAGGCACGTGGGAGATTCTCCATCACTTTCAGTCTTTAAACCACCACTGGATTCTTTCTTTCTAGAATATACACTCTTGTTTAACTACATGCTATGGGCCTGGGTCAGGTTCTCTCCCTGGGCTATGCAAGTCATCTGACATCATCAGTGGTTCTTAACCTTTACTGCAGCCTGCACCCCTTTGGTTCTCCCAAAAAAAAAAAAGTTTGCGCACCCCTTATCCAAAATCATTGAAGTAGGTCAGTTCTTTTAACCTAGATATATTCTAACTATAGAATGAGAGAGAATTATATATTTATTTTAATTTCACAGGTGAATTTTAACACAGTAATAATTTTAAAAAGTATAATGTTAATAAATACATAGGTTTGATGAAACAAAGTAGTTGTACTTAAACGTGCTTATGCTTAATTTGTGTTTTCAATTATTTACCTTCTAAAAAAATCTGGCATGTCTTGCACCCCCAGAAAGGGCATCTTGCACCCCCAGGGGCTGCATGCACCCCAGCGTAAGAACCACTGGACTAGGTGGTCAGAATGGGCCCTTCTAGCCTGTGAAGGGATGGGGGGGGTGGATTGTGGCTATTCAACTCATCAGTGAAATAGTTGAGATGCACATTATGGTCAGTAAAAAGAAGAACAGGAGGACTTGTGGCACCTTAGAGACTAACAAATTTATTAGAGCATAAGCTTTCGTGGAC